CATGGAAAACTGGGATGACTCCATGCCATGATGTTCAGGATTTAGGTCTCATCTTGGGGTGTCAACATTGCAGCCAGTGGGCTGAGGGAAATTTTTTTTTTTGGTCATAGTACCCCCAAGAATTTAAAACTACTTTCACCCCTGTGTATAAATATATAAAATCAAGCTGTATACATACTTTTTGCTATGTGCTTTACGGCGTTAACCCTTTCTATTAAACTTTTGTTAGCTACAGTGATCTTGTGTCAGCGCGGCTCAGAGATGCTCCTCTGCAGACACATTAGAGTTTTTGTCAGAGGCGGAGCTCAGAGTTCCTGCACTATGCAGCCAATAGACTGTCTGAAAGCTGAATGCTGCTCTGGTGGAGCAAAGCTTCTCTGCAGGATGTTCCATTGAGCACTTGGAGCTACAGCTGACTGGCAAGTAAGATTGCACTTTTAAAGACTTTCAACTTTGCACTAAAGTGTTTTCTTTTAACCTCATAAAGGTAAACATTTCATATAGTTTACATGGATTGAGATGATTTTCATTTAAAGTGAAAACAGAAAATATGATTTATCTCTTAAAGTGTTGATTTTCATGTCCACAGTATATGAATGAGGTTTTGGTAAATTAACACATTTGCCAGGTTTCTTATCAAATGCATCATTTCACTGAAAAAATGTCATTTTTGGATCACTTCAGGTTTGTTCATGCTGGTCACTGAAACTAACATTTCATAAAGTTCCATGCATGGAAATGACACAAAATTTACTCATTTATTATTAGTCATCTCTAATACATCCTATATTAGAGATGACTGGAGAATATGACTGCAGTTAAAGGTGTGCTCCTTTTTGTCAGTGGACCAGTGTAATAATTAAAAAGCCATTTTGTTTCCTCTTTTTTAGCACTGTTAATACACCTAAAGTTACTGACTGAAGAGAGGCTCTGTGATGATTTTGGCTTTAATTAGTACAGCCTGTATTAGTAATGTCATGTATTCTTTACAGGCTATGCTAATCTATGCCAGAATCAGCAAAACATTGGATCACGAGGATAGAAAACTAACTGAAATATATTGTTGATGTTGTGTAGCTCTCTTGCTGTCTTTGTCATCAGATTCTGCATGTTTTACCTGCTTGGATCCAAAATCTTTTGGGTTAAACACTGGCCAAATCTGAATTAGTTTCACCTTTAAAGGTTCACTTGGAGACAAATTAGATGAATAATCAGTATAAGCATATTTAAAATCAATTAACAAAAGGCTCTCTAAGGTAATGTTTTCCTTCCTTCCTTTCGTCCTGATGCTGATACCATGCTTCAAGATTCCTTCAAATGTTTCCAAGAAACAAGAAAGGAAGTCCAGTTGTTTTCTATTTCAGCAGTCACTGCCACCTGAACAAGGCTCTCTGCAAATATTCAGCATAGTTCTGTCACTACTTGCTAAAAATATAAATATTTTATTCCAGTATCCTACGTGCTCTAGTTGCTGCCAAAGGTTTGAGCTTTTCATGCATAAATCTACTATCTGAGGCTCCTTCAATCATATGACCTTACTGTATATATTAAATATGTTTCTAGCCTGTTTAACCTTGAAAATATATCAAAATCATGGATCAATTCCAAGAAAACAATTAGAAATACCTGAAATCTTGCCATGCTGGACAAAAGTAAAACAAGAACTGTGACATTTTGGTTTCCTCTGCTGTTTCTGTGCTTTATGGGACTATGAGCCCAACAACTGCTTTGAAATGCCAACACCCAGATCATAGAAGACAACCAATATGTTTCCATGCATGTTCTCTTTTTACCAGCTGATGAACCAGCTGCCTTCAATGATGAAACTGACAGGTTACATTTAAGATCCAGTCCAAACCTTAACTGTCAACATTTAAACTAAATTTTGTCTTTTGTTGTGCTTTTGTTTTTGCAGATGGTCATTAACCACAATGAATCTGACTTCTGGGTCTGATCCAGCCCACTTCTTCCCTGATAACCCTTCTGGTATGAGATACCAATTTACACCTCAATCTAACAAAGAGTCACTAGTAGAAATGCACATTACTTTTAGTTTGTGCATATTTACTCTGCAGATTGAATTACGATATACTATTAAAATGTTTTATAACTTTACATTTTCAGGTGACTCTTTCCAGCAATGGTCCAGGTACTGGAATTTGCATAACATTAGTATTTTTTCAAGAAAAGGAGGAAACAATTCTGAGTCAGCAATTAACATGACCTTCCAGCTGCCTGAAGAGGAATTTGATCCACTGGGAGGTCACACTGTGTGGCAGGTTAAAAACTTTACTTTCAACTCTGTTTTTTGACACTTTTATTCAACATATTTTTCATAATAATGGTGTTATTCCTCATTAGTAAAGGGATCAATAAAATGAAATGAAAATAGATTATTTTAAATTGATATCTACAAATTTGGAATAATTCCATCATTCCTTTAAAAATAATACCAATATAACTTTGATTGAAGTTTCTTATTTTTACATAAATGACCCTTACAGAGAAACTACAAAGTCAAAAGAAAATTCTTATGTTTATCTGCAGAAAACATGTAAGGTTTGATTTGTTTCCAGTTAAACACGATGGCAGTGAGACACACTGTCACTGCTAACAGTTGTCTGAAACTCTGGGATTTTCCTTTTGTTATCTTTTTTTTATAAAACAAAATAGAAAAAAACTGGATTTTGTTTTTAATTAGAATTTATTGTTTGTAACTGTACACATGTACAATGAGACTAAAGTCAACTCCAAAAACAATGCAAACAAAGAAATACATATTTACAACTATATATATACACATATATATGGATGCGCATATACACACATAACTCTATGTAATTAGTGTGTGTGAGCTTCAGGGTGTTAATTGCTTTTGGGAAGAAGTTGGCTTTCAGTCTGTTTGTTTTTGATTTGATGCCTCTGTAGCGCCTCCCAGAGGGCAGCAGGTCAAACAGGTTGAAGCCAGGCTGGGGGCTTTCCTTGGTGATGACCTCAACTCTGCTGAGGCAACGGAAGGTCAGCCAACGTTACTCTGCAGCCTCACCTTGTTTGTACAGCTGCTGTTCCATATGCAGTATGTCAGCAGGCTCAACAGAAGGTCAACAGCAGCTTGGAGTTTAGTTGTACTTCCTGAGGACTCTGAGGAAGTGTAGCCACTTCTCAGTCTTCTTGATGACTGCTGTGAATGTTTGCAGTAAAGTGCAGAGATGAGGACCCCTGGAAACCTGAAGGTATGGATCCTCTCCACACTCGCTGTTAATGTAGAGAGGAGCTGGGTCAGCTACCTGAAATCCATGATGACCTCCTTGGTTTTCTTGGAGTGAGGTTGTTCTCTCAACAACTCTCTGCCAGCTTCAGGATTTCCTGTAGGCTGCCTCATCACCCTGTGAGATGAGTCCGACCACTGTGGTGTCATCAGCAAACCTGACGATGCAGTTGTTGTTGTGGACTGGACTGACGTCTTGGGCATGGAGGCAATAGAGGAGGGGGCACAGCACACAACCCTGAGGGGAGCCAAGTCTCAGTCTGGGGTTGGTTGGTGAGGAAGTCCTTTATCCACAGACATGTGAGAGGAAGACCGGTTCAGTGATGAGTCTGTCTGGGGTTATTGTGTTGAAGGCTGAACTGTAGTCAACAAAAAGCATCTGGACATAACTCTGCTGCTCCAGTTGCTGAGTGGCATCCTCTGTGGATCTCTTAGCATGATATGAACTGGTGAGGATCGTAGTGTTGGAGCCTATGGTCTGTGATGTGCTGGAGACCTAGTCTCTCAAAGCACTTCCTAATTACAGGAGTCAGGGCCATCGGGAGTGCACCTAAATCTGACTACTTATTACTTTATTTGGTTACATCTCCTCTTCATTCCCAGGTCATCATCATCGTCTTCCTCACCGGATCCCTTTCTTTCATCACTGTTGTTGGCAACATCCTGGTTTTAGTGTCCTTCAAGGTAAATAAGAGTCTGAAGACGGTTAACAACTACTACCTGCTCAGTCTGGCCTTTGCTGACCTGACTATCGGCACTTTGTCAATGAATCTCTATACTACCTACATCATCATGGGCCAGTGGGCTCTTGGGCCAGTGGTTTGTGACTTGTGGCTTGCAATAGACTATGTGGCCAGTAACGCCTCCGTCATGAACCTGCTCGTCATCAGCTTTGACAGGTAGTTGAAAGTATTTTAATTTACAATTTTCTTCTAAGTGACTGTATGGTTTTGTCTTTTGCATTTAAGAAAACTGAATATATTTACTCCTATGTAAATATGAATAATGTGACAGTTCTGCCATTATTGCTGCTTTGGGCAAGATTCTCTTGTCGTTCACAAACCAATAAAAATTCAGAAAATCAAAAGAGAAAGACGCACACACAAAAAAATGTCTAAATAACCAGTGGAGGCAGCAACGCTCCAGTTGCCTGTGACAAAAAAGCACCACTGGAACTCTGTGGTTTGTTTAGATCACACTGCAAAGAACAAACAAGTTACAGTCTCTGTTGTATTACTTTTTGTGTCTCCCCAGGTATTTTTCTGTGACCAGACCTTTGACCTATCGGACCAAACGAACAACCAAGCGAGCCATGACCATGATTGCATTAGCCTGGTCCATCTCTTTCATTCTCTGGGCCCCAGCCATACTGTTCTGGCAGTACATTGTGGGAGAGCGCACGGTCCAACCAAATGAGTGCTACATCCAGTTCTTGTCCGAGCCCATAATTACCTTCTGCACTGCTATTGCTGCATTCTACTTACCAGTGAGTATCATGGCCATTTTGTTTTGGAAGATCTACCAGGAGACAGAGAAGAGAGCTAAAGATATACAAGGTCTCAAGGGATCTGGGTCAAGCACCAACCCAAGCCAGGCTCAGAACCTGGACAACAGCAGTGGAAAAGATACAGTTGGCAGCCAGAGGATGTCATCAATCATGCTGCACCAGATCAGCTCCCAGAGTGTCAGCAGGAGTGAAATTTGTTTGCCTTCTCCAGCGAGAAACAGGAACAATAATTCCAGCTCACCAGGAGAGGAAAACCAAAAGTGCTGTAGAACGCTATGTTTTCAGTTCTCAGCCTTCTGGACTCGTTTTCCTGCATCCAACAGATCCTGCAACACAACAACAATTACAGTAGAGGAGACCGAGCGCAGCAGCGTTAACAGTGACATGGATGCTGCTTCAGAGGTGAACAAGAACAGCCAACATTATGAAAGCATCAAAGTTCAGAAAGGCTCAGATGGACTTACTCCCTCATCTCCTCTTGATCAGTCAGTTGCTAAAGCAACCAGAGATGCTGTGCTTGCCAAACGCTTTGCCACAAAAGCAAAAATAGAGATCAATAAGCGCAAGAATGAAAAAAAAGCAAATGAAAAAAAAGCAGCAAGAACTCTGAGTGCTATTCTGTTTGCATTCATAACCACATGGCTGCCGTACAACATCATGGTGTTGGTCAACACTTTCTGTCAGGATTGTATTCCAGAATCTCTGTGGGCTCTGGGGTACTGGCTGTGTTATGTTAACAGCACAGTGAACCCCATGTGCTACGCTCTGTGTAACAAGACCTTCCGGACAACCTTTAGGGATATATTAATATGCCAGTGGAATCAAAACAGGAACAAGCCCAATTTTAATCAAAGGCAGGCTGTTGGCTTCCGAAAGGAGCCTAGATAGATTGTAATACCAGATTGATCCATTAAGTGAAGATATTTTCTTTAGTTTAGGTGCGTCATAAAGAAACACTCACCTGTTTCTTTATTTACTACCTAAACTTGTTCAGTTTATGGGTTTTACAACATCGTGTTGGGAAGGATATGCTCGATGTATTGACTGTAACCCTGCATCAGAATCACAATTCCTTTATTATCATTGTACAAGAAAGCACAACATTTTAAAAATAATTCTTGAAGGCAGTGCAAATAAATAATAATATATGTGTTCAAATATCAGTGGGAAATGATACATTTTAAATATATATTTAGTGAATTATATTTGAACTTGACAGGATAGACCTTGCTTACAGTTGTATTCATAGTTTTTGTTTCATTTTTATAAATATATTAAGAGGATTTAGTAAAAATTATTTATATATTTGACAATATTGTGGAGGTTTTAAGATGGACAGTGATTTTACACTCAGTAATCATATAAAATCCAGAGTCTAGTTTTTATTATTTACAGAAAATAGCAAAGATCAAATTTATTCTGTCAAATAAACAGTAATCCATGCCTTCATTTCATCACGACTGGATTACTGTAATTCCCTCCACCTGGAGTCAGCCAGTCCTCACATGTCTGCAGCTGGGGCAAAATGCTGCCGCCCGTCTTTCAACAGGAACCTGTGACAAAGAGCACACACCCTAACCCTGGTCCAGGCTTCTCAACACTGGCTGCCCGTGTATCAGAGTTAATTTTAAATTCCTTTTGTTTGTTTTTAAGATTTTAAAAAGTAACAACCTTTCCTAATTTACCTTAAACAAGATGATTTAGGACAGAATGACCTACAGGAGATGACATCACATATCAGAGGACTGATGAAGAGAATGAGATTTGAAAGAAGAGGATCCTGGTCTGAGCATCCTCACCAGGTGAATCAGGGCAGAATGACTGAAGAGAGCTGGCTGCACCTCAGAGAGCTTTAGAAAACAGAACCAGAGCTGCTTCATCATCTGTTATCAGGTTTTCCTCAGTATTCATGGACTTCAGACTGTTGGTGTGTATGATGTGTGAGTTGAGTGTGTGTGACAGAGCTGTGCTGGATCTATCATCCCTAAGATATCGTGAATATCAGTAGAGTCACACTTGTACTGAAATGTAGTAATTTCTTTATTTAAAAATCAATTTGAAATTTTTTTAAACTTCTAAAAAAAATTAAGTCATTATACAGTTTTTTCTCAGTTACTTATAATGGGACCATTTCTTATTGACTTTTGCTATTTACCAGTTATTCCTAATTAAGCAATGCAATAATTTAATATTTTGTCAAGTTATAACTTTAACAGTGAAAACATTTTCTTACAGTTACAGGAAATGACATCAGATTTGTTTCATGCTGCTTCATATTAAGGCAATGTTCACAAGCTGCCAACCAGCAGCTCAGAAGGTGTGGTTTTTGGTTTCATGTTTCACCAGATGAGTTGCTTGTAGACGCTGTAATGTGTGTGATCAGATCAGAGCTTTGCTGTGATTAAAGATTTCTTAGGTTCATGATCTTGCTTTATTTGTACTCATGCTTATCTGTTATCTACATTAACTGTGTAAATTCTGACATCCAAACAAACAGCTGCATAAAAGTCACAATAAGTCAATAAGGGATGATTTATTGATCTTTGAGGACCAACATCTAGAGGAACAGAAAGTAACTGATCTGATATCAAATATTACACACAACAATAAATTACTTTAATTGCTGTAGTTCCATCTTACTTTTGTCATTTACAGATTAGTGTTCCTGTTTACAGTGATCCAAGTAGTTCTATATTTTGCTTATAATGAGTCAGTATTTTTTGTAATGTGCTAAAACAGAGTTCAGTAAGTTTTTAGGTTTTCAGAAGGTTAATTTGTTTTTCTTCAGATTTTGACTGTATTGTCACTCATTTCTGTTTTCAGCCCCCTTGATGAGTATTAAGGTCTGTATTTTCCCCCTAAAATGATATAAGCAGCTCAGGTGTGCACCACCATTCACTTGATCCAGTTATGGTTTGTTAAAACTCAGCTAATATCATTTTAGGTATAACCTTGCTGGTGCTAAAATACAGGATTTCTTCGTCCAACAGAGTAACTTCTGATAGAAATGGTAAATGTATTTCTGGAACTCTACTGGTAAAAAACTAGATACTGATAAAAACTGGTTTTCTAAAATGTTCCAAAAGACATACGGGTGGTGCTGTAGGAGCCTTTCCTCTTGACGAGTTCTGTCAGAGTTGCAAAGTTTAAAACAATCAAAAATATAAATTATTCCTCTAAAACTCGGTAAGGTCTTTGCTTGAAAACAAGTGAGAAAGTAGTCAATTAAACTATTTTAAAGGCTCTTAAAAACAACAACAAAGAAATACTTAATGTCACCAATCTCAAACATGAATAGCAAGTCTTGATCTTGAAGGAAAAATCTGATAAAAACAAAAAAAAAACAATGGGCAAAGATCTGATCAACTCAGTGTGAATGTCTTTCATTGTGTGTATTCAAACACAGAAATGGTCAAACAAAAATATTGACAATGAAGGACAGGATTCATAAGATAGAAAGTTTGTTGAAACATTCACATGCAGATTTACAGCAGACCAAACGATGTTTCTTCTGTCCACCTTCTTTAAGTCACATGACTTAAAGAACAGATATAGTCATAGTACTTCTTATATATAAAACACGAATAAGCACAAAATACACATATCTGATAGAAAAAAAACTAGTTCACTAGGATAAAGTGGAATGCTGCACATTTCTACAAGAAGAATTTCATGTGAAAATCAAACAGGATTAACTGAAAATAAAGTATTACCACTTTAGGGATATATGAAAATATTTTAGGCAACAAACAAACCTGAACAAAATAAATCAAGTTAATCAGTGACAAGAATGCGTGAATGAAATATGATTGGACACAAGGTTAGAAAGAAGAAAACCTGATATTGATCCTAGGTTCATTTAGATCAGAAGTCCTTTACAATTGAACAAGCCATTTCTGTCAGCCAAATAAAACTAATCTAGAGCCATTAGAAAAAAGACAACTTATAGTTTTAGATAAATATCTACTCCAGAAAATTTAGTGTTATTAAATTAACACTGTAAACAATTTTCAAGTCCTATTGAGATTAGATAAAAATACTTCATATTTCAAAACATCAAGACTGGATCATTGTCTCATGGAATAAAACAGTGTAAACAAACATCATACCAGATATATATGCCTTCAAGTATCCACCAACCACAGTGAATGTGATTTTTACAGGCATTCATTTGAACACATGCTTCTCAAAAACCTTCCAACGTAGTGTCAAAAGAAATCAACAGAAATGCTCATAAACAGGATCCACCTGGGTTAATCACAAGACACAGTCAGGATCCTGATCCTGTAATCATATCCAGGCACAAATACTGATCAAGCCTCCCACTTCCAATAGGGTGAAGAGGTTGTGTTCAGCTAATGGCTTGACCTATGATTGAGCTGAAGGTTCAGCTGATGACTAAGCGGGAGTGATCTTAACATGGATGAAGAGAGAGGCAGGAGAGAGGCTGGAGCCATCCAGCTTCAGCAGGCGCACATGGCGATAACCTGCAGACAAGAGACACAGTCAAGATACAGTTAGGCTCACAACCTGGGAACCCTTAGCATGTCTATGCTTCAAGCCTCCATTTTAAAGTACACTATATTGACAAAATTATTTGCTCACCCATCCAAATTATTAGAATCAGATGTTCCAATCACTTTCATGGCCACAGGTGTATAAAATGAAGCACCTTGGCATACAGACTGTTTTACAAACATTTGTGAAAGAATAGCTCCCTCTCAGAAGCTCTGAATTCCAGTGTGTAACTGTGACAGGGTGCTCCTCCATGGGTTTCCATGGTGGAGCAGCTGCATCCATGTCATACATCACCAAGTGCAATACAAAGTGTTGTATGCAGTGGTAAAGTTTGGAGCTCTTCCAACATGACTGTGAACCTGAGCACAAAGTAAGGTCCATAAAGACATGGATGGTGTTGATGAACTTGACTGGACTGCAGAGAGTCCTGACCTCAACCCTATAGAACACCTGTGGGATGAATCAGAGCGGAGAGAATCAGACTCTGATGGATGAGAAGTCAGGCCTTCTCGTCCAACATCACTATGTGACCTCACAAATGTGCTTCTGGAAGAATGGTCAAAAATCCCCTTAAACACACTCCTTGAGAACAGCCTTCACAGAAGAGATGAAGTTGTTCTAGCTGCATAGGTGAACAAACGTCATATTGAACTCTATGGTCACATCCCTTTTCCTAATGGAAAGGGATGTGACCTTGTGAGTCAAGGCAGATGAGCAAATAGGTTTGGCAAAATATTGTACATGTGCACACATACACACGCACCTGTGCGAAGACTAGTGAAAGGTAGTGTAAACTGCCCCAAGAAGTCGTTACTAGAGGTATAGTCATGATCCTCCACTACGAAGCGGACCAGAGCCAGGTCAGGTACGTGAACGGTGAAGTTAAACGTACAGTCCCAGCGTGGGTTGAAGCCTAAAACCAACAATAGTCAGTCAAACATGTAGCGTGTTCCTGCAGTTGGACACTCTCATTCACTGTTGGTACCATTGTTGTCCACATGATGAGTTTTCTTCTTAATGTTGTCAATGGGAACTCCATGGATCTCCACCCACACCTGAGGGTCCACTATGGAGCTGGGTTTGTCCCACTCAGGTTTAGGTAGCTGCTGAGCTGAAATAACCTTCAGCACCAAAACAACAGAGAAGATACAAATGAAGAATGGAAGTGGTCATCTAGACTTCATTACTTTTAAAATCATTTTATATTTATTACATCAGAAAACTCCTCTGAATTACAAGTGTCCTAGCCAATATAAATATTTGCAATGATGGTAAAAAGAAAGTGCTAGAGCTTTATGAATGAGGACAGAAAAAAATGATCTAGTCAGGTTCTGCATCCGAAATGGAAAATCTGAGTAGAAAAATAAAGTACAGAACAGAAAGCTGCTGCATTTAAATAAACTGATCATCAGCAGAATAAAGCTTACAGTTCTATTTTTACATATGTTCATGAAATAATAATGTTCCACCTTACCCGAACAGTGAGCAGCAGGGGTCTGTGGCCTGGACCACCTCCAACATTCTCTGGGTTGAAGGAGGCGCTGGGCTGTCTCATGAAGGGGGGCTTTAGGACAAATCCACAAAGACCATTCTGCAAAAACCGGCCTTGATTTAGATCCATCGGCTCACCGGACGTCTGGAAATTTAGAGCAACTAGAGGACACATTGCAGCAGTATCAAGAGTTGTCCACTAGGGGGTGAGCTGTGAGAGAACATGCTTATTGAGGAACACATTCATTACTCTGCTAGATCAGATTAATGTGTGGCTGAACTACCAGGCATTTTTCCAATGGGCTGGTGCATTTCTTTACATCACAGAGAGAGAGAAAGAAAAAGTGGGAGAGAAAGTAAGAGAGAGAGAAAGAGAGACAGAGAAAGAGAGAGAGAGACAGAGAGAGAGAAAGAGAGAGAGAGGCAGAGAGAGAGAGAGAGAGAGAAAGAGAGAGAGAGACAGAAAATTTAGCACGTCAATCCCCACTCTGTCCGTTACTGTTGTTGTGTCCTTGGGAAGCCACTTCCCCCGCCATGCCTGCTGCATAACGGTCCAGCATAACGGTCAGAGGACTACCATCAGTGTGTGAATGGGTGGGTGGAATGACTGAATATAGTGTGAAGCGCATTGGGATCTATGAACTCTATCAAGTTCGGGGACCACTTGATAGAGTTCAAGTGTTATCAATCAATCAGTTATCAGTATGTGACCTCACAAATGCGCTTCTGGAAGAATGGTCCAAAATAACCCTTAAACATATTCCTAAACCATGTGAACAGCCTTCCCAGAAGAGATTAAGCTGTTCTAGCTGCAAAGGTGGAACCCCGTGGATTAGGAAAGGGATGTCACTTGTGCGTGCGAGGACTATCTTCCTGGTTTTAGTGAGAACAGCAGCAGCAGCGTTCTAGATCAGCTGCAGCTGTTTGATGGCTTTGTTAGACAGACCTGTGAAGACACTGTTGCAGTGTCTTCACTGGACCATTATACAGCAGTAATTTAATGCGACTAAAGATAAACGCATGGATGAGTTTCTCTAGATCTCACTGAGACATCAGTCCTCTAATCCTGGAGATGTTCTTCAGGTGATAGAAGGCCAACTTTGTGACTGTCTTTATATGGCTCTGAAGGTTCAAGTCAGAGTCCATCATTAATTATAGATCTACAACTCTAGATCTATAACTCTAGATTGTTCCTCGTTAGGTCCAAAGATAATAACTTCAGTTTTGTTTCTGTTCAGCTGCAGAAAGTTTTGGAACATTTATCTCTTTTAAGCATCTGTTCAGTGACTGGAGGTGTTCAGAGTCACCTGGCAACATGGTAATGTAGAGCTGTGTATCGACAGGAAATAAAAACAGTCAAATTGAATAAAAACAGACTGGTAGAACAATTTCACACTGATTTTGACCTAGAAGCTATTGAAGAGAAATACTAAATGTAAACAAAAAAATAGGTAACAAAAATTAAAAATTAGGGGCGTGCTGTGGTGGTGCAGGAGTTAAGCACAACCCACATATGGAGGCCCTAGTCTTCGATGCAGCTGTTGCAGGTTCGATTCCCAGCCTTGGTGGCCCTTGCTGCATGTCTTCCCCCCTCTCTCATTACCCACTTTCCTGTCAATTAACTATCAAATAAAGGCCACTACAGCCAAAAAAATCTTTAATAAAAAAAAAAATACCATAGTTAAAATGGAATAAAAATACATGTGCTTCATATATACAGTTTAGTACAACAATTACACACTGAT